ACTGAGACATTAAAATTATATTTTTGCTTATCGTTTTCATACTGTCATCGATAAAACCAATAACGTTACGATAAATGAAGTTAAGTGTTTCAATTTTATAAGTATAGAGATTCTAATTTAAATTTTTTAAATCTAAAAATTGAGATGCTAAAAATGTATAACTACAAGAGATAATATATAATTAGCTCAAATAAAAATGATTCTCAAGATAGGTCACCGAGATCAAGGGTTTTGGTATTTTTTAGTTCGAAGGTATCATCTGATTCTTGTTCTTTAAGAAAGCCAACCAAATTGATTGGTGGGATCATGAGTTCCGGCAGCCTTCTACGACTCGAGCCCATAAAGTTTCTTTTAGTGCTTATAACAACCAAGTCCTCCACAGCAGGCTGTGGCTCGCAAACAAATCCATCGGTGGATCATGCTGACAAGATGCAGTGTTAATGCAATTGTAGTTCGATAGCTCTTTGGGCTTTAGCTTACAACATGCGGTGTTACTGCGATTGCAGCAGCTTTTGGGTTTCGATCTCATGAAGCTATTTTCATCACATGCAATATTTTAATATAAAAACACAAATGATTACCTTTATTAAATCACTTCGTTACGAGTAAACAATGTTTACATAAAAAATAGTCAAAAGAAACATATTAAGATAGATATGGTACGTGCCACAAAGGTAAATAGCCATTACATCTTTTATCACCGATGTCGAATGACAGGGGCTTCAAAGAGCCATCCTCTAAGTTATATACACCCGACTTAATGTAAATAGGTTTACTTGCGATATACCTCCAAGTAGGCTGAGCATACATATAGATAGTGTCGTGTTTTCCAGGGGAGTATCGAGTAGTTGAGCATGAGATCGAGCGAGAAGTGTTGCCTATGAAAAGCATGTGCTCGCCTAAGCTCTTTACCTCCTCAAATGATAGAAGTCGATGGTTCATCTTCAAGATATAGATCCTTTTCAAAACTAATTGATTAGCAGAGTTCTTAACATATTTGGTTTTAAAGACTATAAGCTCTTCAGATAACTTTGCCAATTGACAAGCCCCGTATCTCAAATTCCCTCGAGTACTAATGACAGTCACTTTCCTGAGGCATGAGTCAAAAATGGAAACTCGTGCAAATCTATCTATTACATAAAAGCTTTCTTTGAAGTAGATAACATCTGTATAGTCGCTCATGTTGTCCAACTTTGTCCATTTATGGTCCTCGTTGATAGCTAGGAGAAAATTGAACTGGGTGGGGATAACAACGATGATGCAACCTTTGTAGGACGTCGATGAGTTCGAAGATGTTGCCATCCTCCAAAGCGATGGGCAATTTTTATTGTTCCAAAGATATCTTGGGAGCATCGGAAGATGGATATGGACACCCGTGAGAGGATTTAAGATAGATATGGTGCAAGAAAGTTTATTCTCAAAAACTAACCATCCGTCAAATGAGCCGCTGATTTTTTCTCCATCGATTATTGGAAGTTGAATTGAGTGAACTTTTGCACTTGATAAGGAGTAGAAGAAGAGACGATTGATGTCATCGTCATATCTCAAAAGGAGCCATGGGAGTTGGGGAGGGTATGTGCGACAACAGTGGTTGGTAGAGCGCCATGCCTTACATACACAACGAAAGCGGATATAGTCGATGATGTCAATGGTGAGTCGATCAGCGATGAGTTCCTGCATATCAACATGAAGATTCAACCAATCAACTCTCTCCCCTTCTTCTTCTTCTTCTTCTTCTTTTTCCTTCTTCTTTGCCATCAGCGCTATGTTTGCTTCCATCCTTTCGAAGTTTTTCATCCATGTAGAAACATGAAATATGATCCTAAGACCAAAGTTTGGGGAGATATATAGCCTTAGGTTTTTGGATTTCACCTGAGAGTACACCCTTTTCGAGAATCTCCGAATGCCCTTCGAGTTGTGTTAGTAGAATATGGAAGTTGTAATCCTGTATACAGGTTGTATTTAGAATTAGAATATAGTTATATTTCTATATAATTATATTTCTAAATAACTATATTCCTAATTTAAATAAAATAATTATTTATAATTTATTGATATATTATGACAAATGTAGCATAGTCTATCTACCTCGCACTTTCATCATAGAGGGAAACAACATTGGAATAATGAATGGATATTTTTTATTTTTTGTGTCAATTTAAGGACATTAAAATTGAAATTTTATATATTTACAAAACCATTCTGAAAATAGATGTAATGGCATTCATTTTCAAGTGTAAGAACATAAAAATTATTCATTTAACCTCACTTTCATAGTTGAATTATCGAAATGATCTTGAAAATGAGTGTAAAGACACTCATTTGTTTGTGAAATGATAAAAATATTGTCAATTTTCCTTAAAGCTTTCTTCAAACAAGGATAAAAACATCCTTAAATTTATAAATTTTTTCAATGAATTTAGGAATATTTATATTCAAATTTGTCATATTTTCAATATGATTCTTAATGAGTATAACAACATTTATATATTAGTGTTAAGGACATATTTACTCATTTTACCTTAGAATTTTACTATATAGTAACAACTAACAACACCATCCAAATAGTATATTTGTGTGAATTTAGAGATATTCACATTCAAATTTGCCATATTTTTCATTATGATCATACAAGCATGTAATAAAATTCATTTATGAGCAATGACCTGAATATTATCCATTTACCTTAGACTTTCATCATAGAATATTTTTGTCGTTAGGGGCAACAACATTCAAATAGTGAATCCTTATTTTTCTATTACTTTTGTGTGAGTTTAGAAATATTTATATTCAGATTTATCATATTTTTAGGATTATTCTAAAAATAAAATTATGAGTGCAATAATATAAATATCATGTATTTTATCGTAGATTTTCACTACAACATGGCGACAACATTCAAGTAATGCATCCATAAATTTTCTAATTTTTGTGTGAATTTCGGATTTTAAAAATATTTTTATTCAAATTTGACATGTTTTTAATATTATTTTGAAAATAAGTGTAATGATATTAATTTATGTATAAAAATATAAAATTTTATCCATTTGCTATTGCTAAATATAAAACTATAATGGTGCTACTGTTATGCAAGAAAAAAAATTTAATACCAAACTTGAAATCAAATAATGATATATTAAGATCATGATATTATACCTTTATTTGATTTATAAATACACCATCATCGTATTTGATTTGAAATATATATCTTATTTAATTAAATAGGACCACATAATCTAATAATATTTATTCTCTCGATCCTTCTTTCCTTAAGGTCATTGATTTTCAACGAGTAAAGATCAACTATCTTTATACCTTTGATTTGTTTCAATGATTAAAACTAAACCATATACTTTAAATACTCATATCTTTACAAACTATAACCGTTATAACTTAAGAGAACTTCTTATAAAATAAACTTCTCATTTTAGCTCAAAAACATTTTAAGTGTTTTTGTCCTCAACTCACCAACTCAGTAAGGTAATGATAAAAATGCCTTAAACAACTTAAAACATAAAGTAAATCAAACCAAAAATATTTGAGAATATGGATATTGACTGTACAATTATCGCTCCAAATAGTACTAGTACGATCATCGAAATAGTGCCACCTAAAACATGCAAAGTAGCACCATCATCTAGGTTACATGTAAAGTAGTAAGAGTCCAAAATAGCCTACTATCTTACACTTTTGTTAACCTACTAAAGGTCTACTTTAGCCGAATTGTAACTTAATTATAGCCTAATTACTTAACAAACGTCTTGATCAATCATTCGGCTCTTCGATCGATCCTTTTAACTTGTTAAACGAATAATATTTATTGAAATAATCTAAAAAGAATAATTTTTTTTAAGAATTCGTCAAAAAAAAAAAAAAATCAAAGTTGTTTAAATAATTATTTGGTTGAGATGACAATACCTATTGTAATTACTTTCCTTCGCATACTTTGTGTTGTCAAGTCAAACGACCCTTCTGTCCTGAAAAATAAATGAATCTTCCTTTTCTACGAGCATCATTGTCTTCGAAGGCAACCAAAGCCTCACACTGCACTGAGAGAGGTGTTTGCGTCGTTGATTTCTTCTCATCCGTCTCAGTCACTGACCGAGAGAACGGCTTCCGAAGAGTTGGCATAGTCAACCTGTCAAACTCTTCAGATACAGAAGCCCGACGTTTTTCTAACCTTTGTTTGGCTTCCCCCCATCTATATATCTCTTCCCGGCCTGCGATGGATGGATCATCTCAGAATCCGTCCAAAGCTTTGCTACTGACTGTGGGCGCCGCTGCAACCTCATCCTTGCCTCGGCCACATCCCTGCAGGTATGCACCAGTATTATCGTAGGATGAGTTGGGAACGATGCATAATTTGAGGTGCGAGGATCAAGAAATATTGCGTTTCCATATCTCTCTGAAAGCTACCTTGAAATCTTCAATCGGAGCTGGAAGAATCGGTGACTTCTAGGCAAATAATTTCCTTTTTGTCACGTCGCCCTTCATGGACGGGTGTGACTTTGGCTGAAACATACGGTCTCCTCGACAAAGTTGTAGTGCTTAGATTGATCAAGAAGTCGACATGCTCATCAACAAGCATCCAATCAAAATGATAGGCACTGTCCAAAGTTCTGGAGCTTAGAAATATCAGTGGGAATGGAATCCTCCGATAAAAAATCAATGAGATATCTACTAGTCCAGCACACCTTTGACTTGGTCAGTTACGTATCAAAGAGGCATTGGGAATAATAGTATGGTGGCCGCAAGATCGCCAGTAGGATTCTGTTTTTATGATCGTATCATTGTCTTCTTCTTCTAAGTCAACTTAGCGATTAGTTGATAGTTGATAGGTCGCAAGTTTGAATTTATGTAAGAATGTCATTGGATTCGATCGAGAGTTGCAATTTGACCAAAGCGCTACTTCGTCGAGCATAGAATTTTTCATCTTAATATGTAATATTTAACTTAAAAAACCAAAAAGAATATCAAGTTCGGTCAGTAGAGAACAAAAAAGAAAGTAAAATTCATCTGTTATTAAAGCAGGATAAATTCATTGATGCAAACAAGCATAACATAGACTCATATTAATTCCTACACGATTTTGCCTTTTAATTTATTCTCAGCTGCAATTTTCTTTTCCCAGCAAAAAAGGCTGGCGAGAACTCTCATTATACTCTGTATGCTGTTCTTTATTTGCTATTTAGAACAAGGTTTAGTGCAATTGCTCAAGGCCATCGGAGAAGCAAGTCCCAAACTGGTCCATCTCATGCTTGGGTAGCACCAAACCAATCTCCACCCCACCCTCTTCTTCTCTGCTCTCCGCCATAGACATGGCTCCTGACCTCATGATGGAGGTTATCACCACCTTCTTCGGCCTTCCCCATCCAAAGTCCAGATCGTACACCCGAAACCTGGGTGATCCCGCCACGCTTAATGGTTGTCGAGGCACGATAGACTTGATTCTCTCGGGCCATGTCTCTACACCTCGTAAAGGATCGTCTGCGAATTCTTCTATGGCTTTGCCAATAGCTTTCGCCGCCGAGACGACCCCATTTTCTCGTAGGAGGTCGCCTGCCTTCGCTTCGACGAAGCAGGCGCCGATGCAGTTCCCGAAGTACGCCGCCGGCAGAGGGGGCCTCAGCCTTCCTCTGCAGTCGGCAGCAAATATGAAGTGGGCTGTCCGGTCGCTTCCGTATGCTCGTGCTTTGACTAGGCACACCCAAACGTAAGCGTAGGTCGCCATGATGGTGGAGCAGCGGAGGGATGCGCCGCCTCCCTCCATGGCTCCGGCTTCGGCGGAAACCAGTTCCTTCAGCCTTCGGATGTGATCTCTTTTAAGAGCGAACGAAGCGATGACCATGTCCACCGGTGGATCCTCGTGGATGATCCAGTCAGCACGCTGGCCATAGTACCTGTAGAAAATGGAGTACAAATCACGAGGAACAGAAACCAAACTCCTGTCGAAGACGGGCGGCGTCGCGACCACCGCCGCCGAGCTTCTCGGCCCCGCGCATGTGGAAGCCCACGAGAACATGAACCGCATGGAGCTCGAGCCATCGCATCCGGCGTGGTGCACCGCCACTCCGACGGCCACGCCTTGGTTCGGGAACACGGTCACCTGCAAGGCCAGCACCGGCACGCCGTCGTCGTCGGACCCCGATAGCCGGGGAAGCAACGGTAGCAGCGAGCCGACATCACGTGCGTGGTCACCGGAGACCTCATCGAAGTCGGCGTCGTACTCGGCCACAGTGAACGACACGGAGTCGCCGTCGACGTAACGGATCTAGTACTTGTCGTCATCGGGCCCGGGGGACCTTCGGATCTTGCCGGCGAGAGGGTAGAACTGCTGCAGAGCGAGAGAGAGGGAGGAATTGAGGTCGGGGATGACGGAGGCGCAGAAATAGGAGGTGGAGTAGGGGAGACGGTAGAAGAAGACTCGCTCCACTGCTCCACCTCGCAACCATAGTATGTCGAAGAAGGTGAGGGGCAAAATGGACTCGGATACTGTCCCGGGCGGGGGAGAGACTTGAGATGTCTGAAGCAGATGGAGTTGCGGTGGCGATGACATTGGTGAAGCGCTACACGGAGGCGGATGTTGGTCATTTAGCTACCCATATATAATACCACAGCTATGTCAGCATTTGGCACAGCATAAAGTAAGCGATGCGTGCATGCACTTACGTAATTTCCTAGAATAGGGTTTGCGTCTTCCGTGACGAAGTTTATATCTCGATCTTCCGTACGATTTGCTAATATTAATTACATATTTTTTTGTATTTAATTAATTATCTTTAACATCCCATCATTATATTTTTAAAATTTACATCTTTATATTTAGAAACATTTAATTCGTCGTTCCT